TAGTGACAGTGGACTCCGAACGACCTGCACGGAGCGGATCAATCTCCACCCGAGGCAAAGACAATCGGTTTAGCACTCGAATTTTTCCTCCCCAGTCTCCAATTTCTGCGCGAATATGGTATTTTGATTCTCCATGCTTCTTCTTTACTCGTTCTATGAATTGCTCACCACTTGATGAATCTGTTCCAGTTCCAGTTTACCGTACTCGTTATCTTTTTCTTCCGATGCACGCTTGTTTTCCTGTTGTCACTTGCTCGAGTCTCAGATATTTGTCTTACTTGATGAACAATTTGTCGCCATACAAATCGGTTGAGCTGAGAATATGTTCTGGCACTGATTACTTGTCATGTAAAGAAGCTTTTTACTTCTCTCTGATTCTTGCAATTTGTTGATCCGTCTTGATCTGGATTACTGGTTGTGTTTGATAATATATGTTTTTGGCTGCGCTTACTTGTCTGCTGAAGACGATCGTGGCTTGGATTGGAATTCAGCTTCTGACTGCGTTTAATTGATATGTAACTCCGATCAATCAATCTCTCGTTAATCATGCATCGAATGGACAGATTTATGTACATTTTTTATGCTATTTTCTGAATGAATTTTCAGTTTCTGAACAAATGAGATTTTTAGATGACGTTTGTGCTTACTGTAGTTTAATGTACGGTGAAATAGATTGTTCTTAACAAGTCAAATTTGAGCTATTGTACTGACTCCCCTTCCCTTTTTCTCTGCCTCAAGCAGACGTCTGCGATGTTTTAGATTCTTATTTATCAAGGAATAATGGGACGGACTGGAAGTTCATCAGCGTCACGTAAACCACTCAACAAGCGAGAAGAAAATGTTCCCAAAACTGATGACAGGGCTTATCAGACCACATCACAAGCAAGAAGGACGAAGAGGTCACCATATGTATGGCTGTCCTTGCTTCTGTTGACTTTATTTAGCTTCCAGGCCGTTTATAAACAACAGTATCAGAAATTGCCTATCCCCCTTAGTGCCGAACAAGCTGGAAAAAGAGGTTTCTCGGAGGCTGAGGCTTTGAAGCATGTCAAGGCATTAACTACACTAGGTCCTCATCCTGTTGGCTCTGATGCACTTGAAATCGCATTGGAGGTTAATCCCTTTTCTAGGTTGATATATATTTTGTCTATTTATTAGTAAGTTAACGTTTTATCCAATCAGATTTAAGCGAGGAAAAGAGAAAAGATGTATAGTCTAAGTTTGGTTTTGTATAGTTGAGCATGGAGTTATAGAACCAATAGCTAGTCTAACCTGAATTAATCTGAATTTTATTATTGGAATGATGGTTTTGCAGTTTAATATTTTAGAACTATATTGTTTTGCTCGTCAAGTTCAGACCAACCCCAATTATCATTTTTTTTTATGGTCAATCTGAAGCATCATTGGGAAAACATGTCACATCATGTTTAAATTAGTATCCCTTGAGTAAAGATGCCAATAGTTCAAAATATATATTTGAATTATATGCATGCCGAGCCTTTTATTGTTCCCGTTTCTAAGGATTTCAAGTTTTAGAGAATTATCGATTTCTCTGGGAAATGCCTAGTTTAACCTTGTGCTCATGATGTAAAAAAGAAGAAAAAGAATAAGACGAAGACGAAGAAACCATCTCATTGGGATCGAGCTAAATGGACGACATCAACATCAATCTACTTGTTCTTCTTTTGCACTAGCACTTTTAGATATTTAACATTGTGCTTTTTTCCCCAGTATGTATTGAGAGCAGCAGAAAAAATAAAGAAAACAGCTCACTGGGAAGTTGACGTTCAAGTGGAAACATTTCATGCAAAATCTGGAGCAAATCGTCTAACTCGTGGTCTGTTTAGGGGGAAAACACTTATTTATTCAGATCTATATCATGTAATATTAAGGATCTTGCCAAAGTATGCTGATGAAGCTGGAGAAAATACAATTCTAGTTTCTTCTCACATCGACACTGTTTTCTCGACGTATGAATTTATTCTCATCAATCAGTTCTTACTGTTATTATATTTTGTCTACGAAGTCCTTGAAAATAATATCATATGATTGTTTTAGTGAAGGAGCAGGGGATTGTAGCTCTTGTGTTGCTGTTATGTTAGAGCTTGCCCGGGGGGTTTCTCAGTGGGCTCATGGATTCAAAAATGGTGTGATATTTTTATTTAACACCGGCGAGGAGGAGGGTCTCAATGGTGCTCATAGCTTTATGACTCAGGTTGGAATTACTTTAAATGCAGGATTTTCTTCTGCCAATTTTCAAGGTCAAGCTTCAGTTGGATTGCATTTCTAGTGCTTCTTCATTGTGCAATTATTATTTGTGTAGTAAAGTTTACTCTAATATTTTATGGCATAATAAGGAAGTCAAAATTCTTTCGTATGTTATCTGAAAAACCCGAACGCATAATAATGTGTTTCGATAATTGGCTTACTTAACTATCATGGGTGGCTCATTGGTCTAAAAGACTGGGGTTAATTAAGAGGGAATGGGTTCAAACCCCGATGACTACCTACCTTACGAATTAGTAATTCTTATGTGTTTTCTGGCATCAAATGTTGTAGGGTCAGGTGGTTGTCCCGTGAGATTAGTCGAGGTGCACGTAAGCAGACCCGGATACTCACGGATATCAAAAAAAAAAAAAACACAATTGGCCTACTTGATTTTTTCTGAAAGCTTTATGTTGATTGCTTTGTCCATCTTTATATTTGTGCACGTGAAAAATGAGAGAACTGATGTACTTTCAACATTACTCCTGTTGTATATTAAAATGAGGTGCACAACATGGTAACGGTCGGATAATGTGATTAATGTGGTAGAACTGATGTAGAATCTAATAATGCAGCATCCCTGGAATACAACCATTCGCCTGGCTGTTGATTTGGAGGCTATTGGTATTGGAGGGAAGTCTGTAATATTTCAGGTCTTGGCTGTGAATCATTACGTTAATACCATGTCACCCAGGTGACATAGTTTATGTATTAACTGTTTTCTTCCAGTTATGAAGTTATAATTCTCTCGTGATTCTTCCTCTGACAGACTGGTTCTCATCCATGGGCTGTCGAGACTTTTGCATCAGTTGCAAAATACCCGTCTGCTCAAATAGTACCCCAGGTTTGTAATTTCCCTTCTGAATCAACTTAAAAAAATATATATTTAACTTAAAAATTGCCATAGATATGAGCAAAGAGTGAATTCGATCTTGTAGGAAATTTTTACTTCTGGAGCCATTAAGTCTGGTACGGATTTCCAAGTTTACAGAGAACTTGCTGGTCTGTCGGGGCTCGACTTTGCATATATGGACAACTCTGCAGTTTATCATACAAAGGTTATATATTGTTAACTTCTTTTCTTTGGAGACTTTATCTAGAAGTTTCTTATTGGATTTTCACGTGAGGTTTTATATTCAATGACGACCAGAGGATTGGGTTCTTAATCTCTTGTAAGAACTCTTAGAGATGTGTTTTGCGTATTGATGAAGTTCAGGCAATTTTTCATTTAATTGATTTAGAATAAACAACCGTCATCAAAACTTGATCATCCTTTAATGGTCCACTATACCTATCAAACTCGTTACATTATCTTATAGTCCAGTCAACTCTGCATGAAATAAGCTGGAGATATAAAGATGCAGCTATTATGGTTTGCGCCATAATTAGTTGTGTAGTTCTATATGATGGCTTGCATGCTCTACATCTACAGCTAAATTGTTTGTTGTCATGAGACAATTGAGTCTCTCTCTGATTCTGCAGCCACTCAAATATGGTTGTGGTATTTTTTTTTTATAATTTTTTTGATGCATTTAGTAAGTAGTCAGAATCTGGTCTAATACTATTTGTAGAGCACCAAACCATTGTTCATTTATTCTTTATGTAAATGCAAAAATGAAAAAATCGGTGATTGGAGCTGAAGAGTTGAGATATTTAATCATCTCTTTGTAGGGATTATGAATTTGCAAAAGCAATTAACGTAATGCTTGTAGAGCAGGCTGAGTAAATTATCTAGGTTCGTGGCCACCTGATACTTAAATAAGCTTATGCTCAAATCTAAAATGATCTGAAAAATTAGCGAGCAAATGAATCTACATGAAAATATTAGTGCAATATCAATGTTAACTTCCATTACTATGTATGTTCATTCTGCAGAATGACAAGTTTGAGCTTCTAAAACCAGGATCTCTTCAACATCTTGGAGAAAATATGCTTGCTTTTCTGTTGCATGCTGCTGCATCCTCTAAACTTCCAAAGGACAGTGTAATGGAAGAAGGGCAGAGTTCTGACCAAGACAAAGCTGTATATTTTGACATCTTGGTAAGACTTCATTTCTGTCATAGATTTCTAACTCTTTGTTTCCTTTCCACTCAAATATTTTCTCTCTAATAGACACCTGCTTGAGAACTATGACTGCCAATGTTTCAATGGGGGGTGTGGGAACGTAATGGATTGGAATTTCCTCATGAAAGTATAAGGGAATATAATTATTAAGAGAAGATAAGCAACACATTGAGCATATAAGATAAGATTCTTATGGTTTATGGATCACTGTGAAGCCACTTCACACCATGAAATATCTTTGAAAAGGTGCATGAAATATCTTTGAAGATAGCTTGAAAGAAAGACATCTTGTGAGGGTGGAGTTTATTTTCTTTCACTTTTGAACTAGACCCTTATAGCTTCTTAAGTAGGGACATCTGTCCTACTTCCAGATGTATTCGTTTGTTTACTTCTGTATAACAGATCTGTTTCCTAAAAAAAGGTAAAAAGTAGATTTTGTAGAATTTAAAATTGAAAAAAAGATATAAAAGTTACTTGATTCAGCTTCTAACTGAGAACTAAACTTTTTTAAGAGCCCTATTAGTGCTTCTACTGATGGTGCATTTCTTGAAGTGAAATAACACTTGGGACATGCAATTTGGCCATCCCCGAACGGATTGCAGTACATGCCAAAAATTGGCGAAGATGTAAGAAGTGACCATTATAAAAATTACACATGATTCAAGCAACAGCATGGCAACTAAATGTGACAAAAGCATGTGATATAACCACAAGAAATTGTTTGGAGCTACATACCGGAGATATTACGGGGGTTACTTGGGTGTATTTTTTCAAATTTGTTTTTTGCTTTTTTTTTTTAATTAAAGAAAATATTTGGAATATATATATGTATTTTGGTTTTCATTTATTTCTTCTTCAGAACCTTCAAGTTGGTCTTCATTTGCACCATATGCATTTTTCTGGTTTTTTTCCTTCTTCAGTTTGCTATTTGTTCATTGTGCCTTACTGGACAGGGGTCATACATGATTGTGTACCGTCAAAAATTTGCAACCTTGCTTCACAATTCAGTGATCATCCAGTCACTTCTTATATGGACTACATCTTTAGTCATGGGTGGTTTCCCAGCTACAGTTTCGCTGGCATTGTCATGTTTGAGCTTGATTTTGATGTGGATATTTTCACTGAGCTTTTCTGCTTCTGTCGCCTTCATTCTACCTGTAATATCGTCATCACCTGCTCCCTATGTTGCTAGCCCATTTTTGGTAGTTGGGTTATTTGCTGCCCCAGCCTTTCTTGGAGCACTGGCTGGTCAACATGTTGGTTTTCTTATCCTTCAAACATATTTATCAAATGTGTATTCCACAAGAGAGCAGCTGTTGCCCGCTACCCGTGCAGATCTGATCAGGTTAGAGGCTGAGAGATGGTTCTTTAAAGCGGGATCTTTTCAGTGGCTCATTGTTTTGATTATAGGCAACTACTATAAAATTGGATCATCCTATTTAGCTCTTGTTTGGTTAGTTTCTCCAGCATTTGCATGTAAGTTTAGAATTTAGCCCCATCTTTTCTGACAATACTTGCTGTAGATTGTTTGTGTTGAGTAATAAATTCAATTCAAAGCATTTCTTTTAAACTAGTCACTGTTCTCACTGCCAGATGGCTTGCTTGAAGCAACTTTAACCCCTGCAAGATTTCCAAAGCCTCTCAAACTCGCTACATTGCTGATGGGCTTAATGGTACCAATTTTAGTTTCGGCTGGAACTATTATTCATTTGGTTAGCGTTATCATTGGAAATTCAGTTCGATTTGATAGGTACGCTTTTTATGTCATTAAGCTGGAAGTTAGTGTAATTTTCTCATGGAAGGTATGAACAAGAGAAGAGAAAACTTGTTAACTTGATATTGGGAGATTGCAAGTGATTTCATGGAAGGGGCTGGTTCAGTAATGTGCATGAATGTGTTTGTACCTTGGTAGTTACTTCATACTTGGTTTAATTGTATACTGATTTGCTATGTCAATGATAAGGTAGGGGCATGATTCTTTTAAGTAGTCTAGTGCAACCATGCAGGATAGAAGACTAGTTGGAAGGAGAAGGGCAAGAAGAGACTTTGAAGGTCTGAAGGTGTGTCCGTGTTAATAAAACAAAAAATTGGAGATGAGTTTCTGAATGTCGAAAACGTAGAAAAAAAAGTTTTATATGAATACTTTTTAAAATGTAATATATTAACCCACTCAAAAGCGTTATAGTCACCTGAATCCTCAATTTCTAATCACAAAAAGTTCTATCAATCGATCAATCGATCATCAGGGCCTCTTTTTGGAACACATGGATTCACAGAAATCATAGGCTTTTCAAAGACAAGAAGATCTCTTTTGATAGGCTCTTTGCTATAATTATCTTCCATGCTATTACTTGGTGTAAATCTTCATCCCTATTTTTTTCCGTATAGTTTTGACTCTCTTTTGATCAATTGGAGAAGTTTCATGTAACTCCATTGGTTCTTGGGACCCATTCCCCCATCTTTTGTAATTTCGCTTGAAATTGTTTCTTATCAGGAAAAAAAAAGTTCTATCAACCGTTTCTATCTGAATCAACCATAGAGTAACTCTGAAATCTGAACCCATCACCCAAATGATCTTTGCCTTGTCCTTAAAGGGATGACAGCAAAGAAGCTGGGAAATGTTTTTCTTAAAGCTGTTATGGAAGCACCAAGGCCAAAATTTGTAAAGAGCCTTTTCCAGTATCCATTTGCGGATTCACATTTAAAGAAGATATGGTTCTGATCTTCTGAACTCCTATGCATAATACACCAGCTCTGATTAAGTCAATTCGTGGGGAGTCTTTTTAGAACTTATTGTAGTATTAATTCCTTCTATGGGCAATGACTAAATGAAGGATTTAATCTTCTTATATATATTATATTCTAAATAGCTTTCGTTACCAGCTGGAAAGAAGTTTATCTTTCCTAGTTTGAAAGTTAAAGAAGGATTTAGTATAGGAGCCAATCTGACACCCTTCCTATAGATGCCTCAACCCCACTTGTTAACCTCCTCCAGCTCAACTAATTGTGTTAAGAAAGTAAGGGGAGAGAAAATTTCTTAAATTGAATAAAATAAAGGTGCATGTACAAACTAATCCAACTTTTTTTTTTTGATAAGAGACAAGGATGGTATATTAGAAAGGAGACTCAAAGAAGGGACAAAACAACCTAAAGGCGGAGGGTGGAGATAATCCTTCCCAAAGGACTATACAATCACAGCTTTCCAATCTTGCATAATAAAAAAAAGACTGTAATTACAAAAATCCTTCTTGTGTTTAGAAGCCCACCAAGAAGCCGTATGCTTGATATTCACAAAAAAAGAATCTATCAAGACGACTTTATTTTAAAAAATTCTACTATTTCTTTCCCGCCGCCAAAGGACCGCCCTCGCTGCACAATTCCAAAGAATAAAAGCTTTTCTTTGAGAGCATTTCCATCGAAACCTTCTGTAATAAAGTCTACAATATGCCGAGGGAAACAAAAGGAAAAGTCTAAAAGAGATGCCATATAGTTCCAACCTGTGGAAGCAAAAGGGCAGTGGATGAAGAAATGGTCTACATTCTCTGAGTTCCTCAAATATAAGCTGCAAGCTGTCGGGGAAAGCGCCAAGTGAGGGAGCTTCTTCTGGATTTTATCTGCTGTATTCGTACCTCTGTAAAAAAGCATCCACAGGAACACCTCCACAGGAACACCTTCACCTTTTTCGGGACTTTGAAGTTCCAAATGATGGCTGCCGTGGCAGCGTTCAGCTTTGAGGAAGGGGTTGTGAGAGCCAAGAAAGCTGATTTAGCTGAGAAGATATCTTTGGAATCTGCTTTCTACCATATTCTGTCTCTGCCATGACCAAGGTACACTCCATCCAACTTAGTTGTTAAGGCTGCCCACCTTTCTACTTCTCTTTCAAAGAGGTTTCTCCTCATGCCTAGATCCCATGTCCCTGTCTCTGTGATCCAGGAGTCCCCTATGGCCAAACCTTTTTTGCTTGAAAGACCGTAGAACTCAGGAAAGGAAGTTGAAAGAGGAGATGAATAGATCCATATGTCTTCCAAAAATCTCACACTGTCTCCCGATGAGACTTTGTAAAAAATGTGGTTGGAGAACGCCGTTCCCATTCCTTGGATGTCTATCCAAGGTCTGCCTCTCGATGAACCACCAGAAGGTGTTGAAAAACTAATCCAACTAAATAATATATAATCAGACTCTCAATTTATTCTTGCGAGCTATCCCATGGAATTAATTCTTGACTTATTCTATATCTTTTATATCATCTAACTAATCTTCTCAAATGGAAACGGTTTGCCGTTTATATAAGGTATTATGTAAACGTAGAAACTTAATGTAACATTGGAGCTCCAATATCCTTGAACCTATCTCTATATGGAAAGTAACCTCAAATCTCACTGCATGGAGGAAGGAACAAAGACATTTTTTTCTGGTCATGAAAAGACTGTAAGCTGGCCTTGAATATTACCAAATACCAAATTCCATGTAAACGTTTCCTCTGACTTAAAAAGTTAAAATTGTGGAAAGGTAGAGGCTGGTGAAGATTACTGAGTCGATAAGCGAGAAGGAAGTTATGAGCTCCATAGTGAGGATAACTAATAACTAGAATACCCTTCTTTGCAGAGCCAAGAATAGTTGTGTCACTCGATTGGTTGGCTGCTTTTATACTACACTGTGGCATGTTACTGTATAGTCCATCTG